TCAGGTCTCACTTAGCCTCAATGTTACTTCCTCAGAGAGGCTATCTTTGACTCCTATCCCTTAGACTGTCTTTCAAATGACTTTTTTGATTTTCATAACACTGATCACAATTTATATTTATACGTTTATTTGTTTAATGTCATATTCTATCATCAAAATTTCCATGAGAAAGAGAACCATGTGTTTTATTCACCAGTATATGTCTAGCACCTAGCATAAAGCCTGGTATAGGAATAGGCTCCTATTGAATAAATGAATGAATAAGTGACTTTATGTGAGTAGGGGTGGGATGTGAGAGGGGATTTCTTCCTCCTTAATTACCACCATGGGTAAAACACTAAGGCATAATCATTGATCAAGAATCATGGGCTGAATTCTGTACTCCTTTAGATATCATAAGGAATTTTTAGAGGGGAAAGACTAACCCAGTTAAAAAAAGATTCATGTAAGGAGGTGAAACTTGGAACTGTTCTATGAACAATGAAACAAGGTATTTCAATTTAGGAAAGAACATATTAACAGGCACAAATACGGGCTTTAGAATCTTAATAATAATGACATTTCTTAAACGTGCATGTACGAGGTATCTATATCCATTATCTTATTTTAGACTCACTGTAATTTGAGGAAGACAGTATAGCACAGGGATTAAAATGCAGGCTTTGGGTTCAAATCACAGCTGAGTAATCTTGGACAAATTATTTAACATCTCTAGGCCTCTGTGCATTTGTGTGGAATGAGGATAATATAGCAACAACTCAGGATTGTGGTGATTTTAAGAGTTAATATACATATAAGGTGCTCAGAATGAGCAAATATTATTAAGTAGATAACATTCTTGTTTTTTAAAGGTGAAAAATTGAAGCTAAAAGAGGTTAAATATATTGCCTAAGGCAGGGGTCCCAACCCCTGGGCTGCAACCATCTGTGGCCTGTTAGGAATCACGCCGCACAGCAGCAGGTAAGCAGCTGAGGGCTAGCAAGCAAAGCTTCCTCTGTAAATGCAGCCTCTCCCCAGTGCTAGCATCACCGCTTCAGCTCCACCTCAGATCATCAGGCATTATATCCTCATAGGAGCACTGGTCTCTGGTGCCAAAATGTTTGGGGTCTGCTAACCTAAGGTTTCAGCTGGTAAGTGAAAGAGCTGGGAGAACTCACATTTACTACTACTATAAATTGAAAGACACCTTAGGAGTTCTTTAGCTTAACAATCATCCTACCACCAAGATATTTGAATCACCTTTATAAGGAACCTCTCAGAAATGCTCACCTATCAACTTTATTAATCTTAGTAATAAAGGTAAATATGACAACTTAAATCATGCCTAAAAATAGTGATCCAGAACAAATTCTAATTCAAATTAGCTTCAGTATATTACATCATACTGTAATATGTAATGACATAATACTATATTCTACCGTACTATTTTCTAAATATATGTAGACACTGTTTTGCAAAACAAATATACATAGAAAAGCATTGTTAAATTTAATAATAGTTTTTCCAATATGATTTTATCAATCAATAGATATTAAAGGTGTCAGACTATACTGTGGGCATCCTCAAAATATTTTGAAAGGTCTTTGTACTTGAAAATATTGGGAACCACTGGTTCAAAATAGATCTGTGTTTTCTAATATGGTAGTCCTTAGCAGGCTATTGAGCACTTAAGAAGTAGCTTAGTCTAAATCAAGATGTGTGGTAAGTGTAAAATACTCAATAAATTTCAAAGACCTAGTACAGAAGAATATAAAATATCTCAAGATGTTACAGTAATAATATTTTAGATGTTGGCTTATAAATGTTATTAATTTCACTTCTTTTTACTTAATATGGTTAGTAGAAAATTTTAAATTATGTAGATCATATTACATTTCTATTGGACAGCACTGGTCTGGAAAAATATAATTGCCCTTAATTTTATCACTTTAAGACATTAGAGCTTCATCGGAGTATATACAAAGGTAACATGTACTATAAAATATTATTCTCTCTAGGAAGCTACTCTCTCCCTCATAGGCTCGGTTAAAAATCTCCTTCATGTTCCTTTATTGTCCACGTTTGACTTTACGATAGCGCTTATCATATTGCATGGGATTAATTTCTTGGTCTCTTCTGCTAGTCTGTAAGCTCCTGAAAGAGACTGTTTTTATTCTCCCTGTCCTTAGAATTTATACACATGGTTCGTATTCCATGTTTCTTAAATGAATGAAAGTAGTAATTTGTTCAAGGCCATATAACTAAAGTAGAAGCAGCAGAGATTAAAGCAAAACCTGCTTCATTTTAATGCCCAAGTTTTATACATTGTAATGTATTGCATATATTTGAAAGATTAGAATAATTTTGAGCAATCATCTTTTTAAAAGTATATATTTTCAGTATTTAATATAGTTTACCTAAGGTGTGGGGAGAACTCAATTTTCACCTAAGTTTTGTTCATTGTACTTTTATAAAGCTTTGGAATAATTTTACTACTGATTAAACTGGTTAGTCTCCCACATCATTGTTTTCTGGTAAACCACAGGAAAAGCCATCCTAGACCTGCATCAGCTTTTTGGATTCTAGAAATCTTTTCTCTTTTCCTCCTTTGACAGGAAATATGTATAGGAAAAACAAGGTCTTCTATGTCTTGTGTTTGCCATCATGAATTATTGACTCTTTTTCTCCAATAATAAGGTTTTTTCTTCTGTTATGAGTTTGAGGACTTGGGGGGTCTGTTAAAAAAAAGTGCACAAGGTGGCAGTAGCACACCACTGAGCTTTATTTTGATGGTGCTTGACAGATTGCATGCAAGGGTTAGTCCCTTACAGCAGGTGACCTTCCAAAGAGGTATGGAGTCACTACCAGAAGGGAAAGATGACAAGGGAACTTACAGGCAAAAGGGGAACCAGAAAGAAGGCGTACTGTCTGGGTGATGTTGCACAACAGCTAGATGGTAAGTCTCTGAGTCAGGGAGCATCAAAGGGCAGGATCAGCTTGGGGTCTTTAAGAGCCAGAGGGTTTGTCATTAGCTGGTGGATGCTAGGTATGAAAAGCAGGCAGGCTTTTAAATGGCTTAAAATATGGTTATTTTATGGGATATACTTAAAGCAATTAGATGTGTAAAAATTTGAGCTTGACAAAGGGAAGCTTTTGAGCTAATGGTCTCCGTCTGTCATGAGACCATTAACACAAGGCTAATAGTATACAAGGGCCATCTTTAATCCATTTAAATAAATCTTTATCCTCCTAACTTTTAACTCATTGATTTTTGAAATTAGAGCTGCTGAGATTCTAATTTACATTAAATAAAGTTCACTAATTAAGCTTTTAAGTAATATTTCTGAAATTAAAAAAAAAAAAAAGACTTCAAATAGACTTTTAAAAACTGTCATGAACATTCATTTCCCACAATGTAGCTCTAAAAATCTTTTCCACACTTTTCTTGGTCACATCCTCATATGTAAGATAAATTAAACCAAGTGAGCTTTCAGATTATTTTTAGTTCCAAACCTATTGAAAAGGTTTTATGAGGAAAAAAAATCCACTCTTAAGACAGATATATGAAGTGATTTTTTTCAACAGATGTAAAGATATGTTTGTAAGTAACTACAAGTTGGGGAAGGAGGTTGGGATATTGCCATAATTTTCAAATTCTTAATGTGTTGGGTTCTGCTTATTTGATTTAAAAAAATAAAATATTTCAAGATTTGGAAAGTATACATTTCATCTGCATACTGAGAGGTACCAGAATATGCCATCCCAAAAAGTGCCTCTTTGGCATATGGATTATTTTGAGCTAAAGGCCACTGCTAATCATCAGCATGAAAAGCTCTAAAAACAGGGTATGTTTCCTTTCCTAAAGGAAATGTACATTTGTTGGCCTAAGATTAAAAAAAAAAAAACAAAAACTAAAAAAACTTAAGCTCCAATAATGACAATAACTGCAATGGGTTACAACTCACAAAATACATTTAAATCACTGGATTCATAATGATAGCTGTTCACTTTTGGGGTTTTTATTCACCAGGAATGTTTCAATATTTTAGGTAAAGTTCTAACTTTTCCATTACAATAAACGTGCATCCAGCATTACTTATTTGACTAGTTCATCCTTTTCTCACTAATATGTAATACTAATGTCATATATCAAATTCATATATGTAATATATGAATGAATATATATTCTATATAAATATGTCTTTTTGGAGCTCCTTCTTTATTTGTCCATTCTTATGCTAATGCAATACTGTCTTAATTACTATGGCTTTATTATACAACGGTATCTGGTGGACAAGTCCCTTCAATCTTTATTTCCTTAAAACTGCCTTCGATATTTTTTTCCTTAAAACTGTAAATATTTCTCTCTACATGAATGTGAAAAATATCAGGATAGCAACCTCAGCAGTAATAGACCTTATTTTTAAAAATCACCAGTAACTTCATACTGAAAATATGAAAAAACTAACTGAATAAATTTAACACCAAACTACAAGGTTATACAAGATTGAAGTTATAAATTATACCTGAACGTTATTACATACTTTTTGGGGGGAAATATCTAAGGCTTTTGAGTTTTTGAAATTCTAATTCCCCCCTATACTGAAGTATATTATCTTACTTTTTGGTCTAGACAAGAACTGAAAAAGAGAAATAATCTTGAATTCAGAATGAACAATTCTTACTATATATATTTTCCCACATATATAAGGAAGGTTCTGTAACTTTCCGAGAAAATGACTTGAACTAAATGCTTAACTACTACCAAAACTCGTATGCATATTTGCTAGTTTTTAGTCATTGGGAGTCATGGCATTTCTTTTCTCTGTATCACAAACTGTTATAAATACTTTCTTTTTACTATTAACATTGGAACAGAAGAACTCCTGTTCTGTGACTGATTGGCAGGCAGAAATGACAAGGACAGGAAATGGGAAATGGTGCTGGGTCTTGGAATTCCCCGGCTGCCTAATTAAGTGGCTTGTTATTTGGAAGTTTTTGAAATGATTGCCCCCTGGAGTTCCCCTGAGAAAAGAAAGCATCTGATTTCATTGACAAAGGGTGTCTTCACAGCCCATAAATTAAGAAGTTCGCTGGCTGCAATACAACAAACATTTACTGCACGCCACTACTTTTGTGGCACTACTGGGGGTGGGGGGACAAAACGTCTATGACTAGCAGCACCAAGATTTCTTGCAATTTTCTATCAATTAACTAAAACTTCATTGATAAGTGGGCTCCTTTGTAATTTGCATACCATTTTATATACACACATATATAAATGTATACAATCCATATTAGTCACATTCAGAAAAAACATGAGTGAAGTCTGGCCTGATATACCGTCCACGTTTCTAGCAATGAGCTTCTGAAATGCACTTTTTCGTGCATTCCAGAACAGACAACCAAAGTTTAAAAACAAACAAGTTTCAAAGTAAAAGATACACTGGTCGATTATAAAATAGGTATATTTATAATTCCCAAAAGATTATAAAACCAAGCCTTCAAAATTAATCTTCTGATGCTGTTCTACTTTCCAACACTTCGCTTTTTTCAATTTCCATCGCCAGTTGTTGAACGTTTGTTACACAGCTGAGTTCCGAGGAAAAACGGCTGTAACTGTTTAAAATGGGTACAATTGTTTAATTGAAGCAAAAATGCCACCAGGTTGACTCCATCCTCAAATGCAGTCATCTGCGACAAGTGGAGGCGTCACACTAGAGGAATTTGGCGAGTAGATGGATCAAATAACTCTGAGGTGACGCGGAGAAAAGGTGCCAAACAACCCGCGCATGGGCGTTTCCGCAGGATTTCCCAAGATTCAAACTCGGCTCACGGTTTGCCACGTCCCCCTCGAGAGAATGTTAGGGACAGAAAGAGAAAGAAACGTCAAAAGTACGCAAACCGCGAGAATAAATAACAAAATACCAGGTTGTTGGGGATGGTCCCGCTTCAGTCCGCGGGCTGACCAACTGCCCGCAGTTGACCACGCGCGCGGCACAGCTCTGCGACCTCAGACTCCCCGGCGCCTCGCGCGGCGGTGACGCAGTCCCGGCAGCGGCGCGCTGACGTCACCGCGCGTCGGCTTGTTCCCTGTCAGGGCGCGGGGCTTCGGGATCGCTGAGCGGGAGCTGGCAGGGGACCGTCTCCCGCTGGCATCGCTCCTGTCGGGTGTGTGGAGGAGGCCGCCGGGCCGCAACGCCGTTATAGGTGTGCTGCCCTTGCAGTGAGGTGAGTGCAGCTGCTTCCGGGCCCGGGCGGCGCGAGGCGGTTTGGGGCGCGCGGGCCCCCAGGGCTCACTTCCCAGAAGCTGCGGCCGGGCGGGCCGAAAGAAGCCATGGCTTGGGGCCTGCGGCCGGCGGGTCGAGGGTCTCAGTGGACTCTCTCTTCTCGTCGAAGCTTTTATTTCATTAGGAAGCTCCAACTTCAAGAGTTGCACTCGAAAATAATTTTTGAAAATTGACCTGTTTGCATGCTTGTCCTGGCCGCCGCCCACTTTTCTGGCCTTTGGACTTTAACCAAGACGTTTTCTCTTAGAGTGTTTGCAGGGTTTTCAGTATAGCCCTCGATATTCCTTTAATTTGTTGAAACAAAGACAGTTTTTCATTTTATATTTAACTAAGATCTCATATTTAAGATAGTTTCAACTGCGTTCCATCTATTGTGTGCTGTGTGAAATAACTGCGAGAAATTAACGGGTAAATCCCATAGTTGCTCTTCTTTTCCATTCTATCCCTCCACCTTGCTACAATTCGCATAAAAAGGGCAAAATCCACAGTACGGTACTTGTGGATAAAAGTTATAATTTAAAGATACGATATCAAGTCCTGGTGTAACGAAAGCATTCATGCAAGTGGTCATATTCCCAAGGCCAGTGTTTTCACAGGCCATCGTGCAACGTTTTGTTTTCGAGGTGCTTTATGTGGTTGTTGTTTTGGAATTGGGAGGGAATCATAGAGTGTAAGGATTTATATTAATGAGTGCCTGATGCATTTTACTCTTACAGGTCAATTTGCCTAGTCCTGGAGAGACTTGAAATTAAAAAATAACGTTACTGTCTAATTATTGCTCTACTGTTGCTGATGGGGTATAGTGCCTTTCGTTACTGTCTGTTTTTGCCTCTAGCAAACTGCCAGAGATATTAGCCTTAATATTAAAAGTTGTCACCAGAAAAGGGAAGGAGACCAAGGACAAAATATTTTCCTCTGAGGAAATTTCCATCTGTTTTCAAAGTTGTATGTTTAAAAAGAAAAAACATATGTATATATACAAACACACAATGCTATGGGGGCTATGTTGTATTTATTAAAACCTTTTATAATTAGAAAGTTTTGGTGACACATTGCTGGAATTAAGAGGTATCATCTAAAGTGTAAATCATTTTTAGAATTTACTGAATAAATTGAAGCGTCTATAAATTCTGTTTACCTTAAAAATGGTTTTCTAAAATAGGTTTTTTTTGTTTGTTTGTTTGTTTGTTTTTCAGATTTACAGCCCTGAAGAGACTACTTTTTCCCCTCATTTTTTTTTTCTGCTGAAGCAATAAATCCCATTATGGAGACCCAGAAACTTTATAAAGGGATATAGTTTGATTTCTGTGGAGTGTAATTTTGTGTATGAATTGTATTTTTAAAATACGAAGGGTTTTCGTAAAGAAGGCTAGTATTAATTACTGGTACATTATGCATAAACAGTAATTCTTTTGGTAATACAATATTTTATTAAGCATTCGTGATAACACTAGAAAGGACAAGCTTTATCTTGATAAATTGATTTATCTTTAGTTACACAATGAATAATATAGATGCATGATCGTTAAGACAGGTTGATTTTTAAATGCAGTGTAGAAAGTTTCTGTGGAAATTCTATTAACTAGTTTTTGGAGAAAGTACCTTCGATTGATCAACTATAATAAAGTGGTATGCCAAGTTAGGAAATGGAAACATAATAATTAACAAAGATAGAAAAATTAGCAGTTTCTGAGCTTTAAGCAAAATTCATTTCTCTTGACATCGTACACTCTGTAACAGGTATAGGTTCAACAAAGTTTGTGTGTTATCATTCCCAAAAGTTGTTAGCTGAAACTAATATAGTCCACTTAAGTAAAAACCGATGATAAGCTGTGTGAAATTAGCCTTTAGATACGTGTGCCCATATGAAGACCTTAATTCTTGTTTATTAGATTAACAAGATTTTTTTTTTTGATAATCACATTAAAGTACTTGTAGAGAAAGAAGCCTCCATATAGTTTTTTCTTATAACAAAATTAGTAAGTAATTGGCTTGATATTCAGGCTTTGTAGCTTGTAACCAAAAGCAAATTAAAAGTATAATTTAGGTACTATATAGTTGTTTAGAATTTTGAGAATATAAACTTTGAAAAGTCAAGTCTTTTTTGAACATTTTCAGAGGTGTGTCAATTTCTTTCAGGCCATTAGCTTAGTATTACACCAAAGAATGAGCCATTAACACTTGAGTTACCTAAAAGAGTTAATATAATCTCAAAGAGTACTAAAGAGTATTTTGGTAATTTAGAAGCGATATCCATTCCACCTGAGTGTAAATCCAATAAAGGAGTGTAAATCCAATAAAGGAGTGAATTTCAGGTGCGAATCCAATAAAGGAGTGAATTTTACATAAGTAGGAGCCTATCATTTGATTGTTTTTTATAGTAAAAATCTAGTGTGAAGAGATGAGAAATTTCATGTGAAGGTTTCTATCTATCAAAAAGTAAAATCACTCATGCACAAAACTACCTCCCAACGACTTGTCCCAGGTCCCTCATATCAAAAAAATTAACAGTATAATGGAAGATAGCACCATCTTGTCAAATTGGACAATCGGCAACAAACACAAAATGAAATATGACTTTTCATGTGAACTCTACAGAATGTCTACGTATTCAACTTTCCCTGCTGGTGTTCCTGTCTCAGAAAGAAGTCTTGCTCGTGCTGGTTTTTATTACACTGGTGTGAATGACAAGGTCAAATGCTTCTGTTGTGGCCTGATGCTGGATAATTGGAAACAAGGAGACAATCCTATTGAAAAGCATAAAAAGTTGTATCCTAGCTGTAGCTTTATTCAGAATCTGGTTTCTCTTACTAATTTGGAATCCACCTTTAAGAATATTTCTCCGATGAGAAACAGTTTGACACATTCATTATCTCCCACTTTGGAACATGGTGGCTCATCCAGTGGTTCTCATTCCAGCCTTTCACCAAACCCTCTTAATTCTAGAGCAGTTGAAGACTTCTCCCCATTGAGGACTAACCCCTACAGTTATGCAATGAGTACTGAAGAAGCCAGATTTCTCACTTACCACATGTGGCCATTAACCTTTTTGTCACCATCAGAATTGGCAAGAGCTGGTTTTTATTACATAGGACCTGGAGATAGGGTAGCCTGCTTTGCCTGTGGTGGGACACTAAGTAACTGGGAACCAAAGGATGATGCTATGTCAGAACACCGGAGACATTTCCCCAACTGTCCGTTTTTGGAAAATTCTCTAGAAACGCTGAGGTTTAGCACTTCAAATTTGAGCATGCAGACACACGCAGCTCGACTGAGAACATTTATGCGCTGGCCATCTAGTGTTCCAGTTCAACCTGAGCTGCTTGCAAGTGCTGGTTTCTATTATGTGGGTAAGATACAAACTAATATACAGCTTTACATTTTATCTGGTTTATTTTGATTTATATATTAGAATGTGAATTCATTTTAGTCTTTTATTTTCTTAAGGTCACAATGATGATGTCAAATGCTTTTGTTGTGATGGTGGCTTAAGGTGTTGGGAATCTGGAGATGACCCATGGGTAGAACATGCCAAGTGGTTTCCAAGGTAATTATTTTTAAAGATACTCACAAAACTGCTTAAAGAAGTAGGCATGCTTTCATGGTTAAGTTCACATCGCAATATAACAAAGCTTCTCTTACACCATTGGAGAATTAGCCTTTTAAAACACCAAATTTGAAAAATATGATAGAATGTTCTGTGTACTCTTCTTTCGTAAGCCATGTATTCAGGATATAGTTTAACTTGACTCATTTACAATTGCTGTACATTTCATTTATATCATTTCTCATTTTGCTTTAAAGAAGACTTAAAGATTACAGAGATATGTAAAACAAAACCAGGAGAACATCGGTTAGAGTTAGGAAGGGAAAAGGAAAACAAGAAGGGACCTAAAATGGATTTAGGAATAAGATAAATATAAAAATGCATATAATAAAGCCTGATTGTTAAGTCTGATTATAATTGTATTTTTTTCTGTGCAGTTTTATCGTGTGATGTCACCTATCTCCTTTTAGTCACTCTCTTGCAGTATCTTATTTTTAGAAAGAATTTAGAGGCAGTGTTGTTAGTAGAAATAGAATTAGAAATTAACTGTTTTTGTTATTGAGTAGTTATGTGAACTTGGATAAGTTGTGTGATGTCTTTGAGACTGTTTCCTCTTCAGTAAAATGAGGCAGTTAGATAATTTGTTTAAATTGTGATCAGACATACATGCCTAAAATTAACCATTTTAACCATTTTTAAGTGTATAGTTCTGTGGAATTAAAGTACATTCACATTGTTTAGTAGTCATTACCACCATCCATTTCCAGAACTTCCCAAGCTGAAACTTGTACTCATTACACTAACTCACCATTTACCTGGCCCCTCAACCCCTCCCTGGCTACCGCCATTCTACTTTCTGTCTCTATGAAATTTGACTACTCTAGGTACCTCTTGTAAGTGGAATCATATAATATAGATAATGTTTTGACCTGTGAGTGCCTTTCACAATAAAGAGGAATCTCTTAAACCTCTTTAACCTCTTTAGGAAATTAAAAAATCCTTTTGTCATTTTTGCTTAAGATAAAAAAGAAATTTGAAGTAATAAATATTTTATTATGGATCAGTATGTTGTTAAAAGTTGTGTTTTAAAATTTTATCTATACTATTTAGAATATATCAAGGTAAATTTTGACTTTCTGAAACATGACATATATTTTGTTTAAATAA